CTGACTGATACAAAAATGGAAAATAATGCTCTTAAAGCAGAAACATGATTTAATGGTTTGGGTGAACTAAGATTAAAGAAGGAAAAAAATATGTATGTGTCTGTGTACCAGAAAGTCAAATGAATTATAATAATATGAGATGCAGCATCCAAAGACTAGTTAAGAAAATAAGATCTGTGGTACTTTTTGCACCTTTAACTCTACCTTCAGAGAAGTAAAGTTTCCAGCCTTTATATGGTATGAAATGATCCAATGTTGATTGCAGTAGTAAAGACTGTGTGGTTTGTTCTGGAAAATAAAAAAAAAAAAGCCCACAAAAGCAGGATACTAGGTTAACAGAAACAGCAAACTTTTTTTTTCTTTTTTCTTTTTTTACAATTTGTTTGTCCTTCTAACAATGAGAACCTGACATGTTATTAACAGAGTATCTAAGTTATGGGTTTCAGTAAGACTTTTGAATATTAACATCTAAATATTCAAAGAGGTAAGGTCAATTAAAAAACAGACTGAAATTTGACTTTAACAGCTTTTCATGACAGACATGAACGGATTCCTTCACAACGGAAACAAAACTGATCTACCACTGGCCTCCCCTACCGGAAGGGGGTTGTCCTGGGGCTTTACTCAGCTCAGGTCTGCGTTCTCGTTCTCTCCATTTTCCTGAGAAGTTCCCCCCACCTCTTCCTCTCTTCCAGCTTTGAAATCTTCCTCGTCCAAATCCTCTGCCTCTATACTCTCCATTCATGTCTTCTAAAGATAAGAGATTAGAAAAGTTCTCATCAAAACTACAGGTGAAAATAGTGCTCCTAAAAAAGACCTAACATAATAAATAAACAAAAATTGATATGTATTCTAGGTTGAGACTAGGAAATAGGCTTTGCGATGCTGCACAGCGTGGTACAAACCCCAAACACTCTGCAGTGACTCTTCTTTTTTTCTTTAATGGTAACGTAAAGCTATCACTTATTGAATATCTATTATAGACTAGGTCCTCTGAAAATTTTCTCTTTAGTTCTTACAATTACTTTATAAAGTAGGTACCGTTATTTCCATAATATAGATGAGGAATCTGAGGGTCAGACAGACTCAATGGCTTATTCAAGGCTCAAAGTTGCTAAGTGGTACAGTCAAAAGTCAAACCCAAGTACACTTTGGTTCTGGCCCAGAACCTTTCTAATACATCATCCCTGCTGCAAGCCATTCTTTCACAAATTTAACAAATTAATGGAAGTAAAAGAAGAGAAAAATGAAAAAAAATTCAAAAAGGAGAAATCATAAGAAATACATACTCCCAAATTAGCCAAGGCTTATAAAAGATGTCAAAACACCGAATATCTTTGTCCATTTTAATTGTCTTGCTTCTCATTTGTTTAGGAAAGATGGTTATGCACTTATTTATCAACGGCTGACACCAGCCTCCTACATCCAGTAGCGTGTGAATCTTTGGGAAGAGGAGAATGCCACCTCCAACCACAGAACAACTAAAACTTCAGACACTTGCCAACCTGAGCCCCAAAAGCAGTGGTGGGTACATGTCCAGCCAATCAGAAACCCTGCCTGATCTCCCAACAGGGACTATGATTCAAAGAAGGAATACTGAGATCTCACTCCAGGGACAACAGCAGCAGCATCTGCTGTCTGGCGGGAGCAGCTCCTGTGGTGGCCACAGCAGTGTCCTTTAGAGGATGCTCTTGGGCATGAGCTTAGCTGTGGTCCAGTCACTCTGTTTCCTGTGGTACCTGGCCATTTCCTGAGCCTGTTTCTCTAGCACTCCCGTTGATTCTTTTTTTTTTTTCTATTACTGTTTTTAAAAAATAATCTACAGAATGCAGTGATCCAATCATAAAGGACAGTCAAATGTGCTTTCACATATTCAAGAAATCAATCAACTAAGTTATAAACAGTTCATTTGTGTCTTTTTTTTTTTTTACATTCCACATATAAGCAGTATCATAAGGCATTTTTCTTTCTCTTTCTGGCTTCCTTCACTCAGAATGACGATCTCCAGGTCCATCCATGTTGCTGCAAATGGCATTATTTTATTCTTTTTTAAGGCTGAGTAGTTGCAGTTACTCTTCTAATCCTCAAATCTTTTTAAGGTATACACATGTGTTTAAGTATACTGAATGCTTACACCTTTTCTTATTTTTATCATTGGACTTATCACAGGATGAAAATAAGAAAAGGTACCATACCCATTTTCAAGGAGCTCCCACAATAGAAATGAAAGTGAGACAGGTAATTAACTCTAAGATACCTTGTTTGTAGCATTTTAAGACGTTATAGGGCAGCACTGGCTGAAGATACTCCTGACCTGTGACACTACGACTACATCATCACAGCTCCTTATATATGGCCAGTACAGCAGTGTCATATCCACTTTTATCAGATACATGGATATTTCTACATAGACATCTAAGACAGACCTTTCTGGGGAAGCACGGGAGTGGGACAGGGTACACAGGTTTCAATCTTTCTTTCTCTGTAGGGGACAAAATGGGAAACAAGCTAACTTTCCAGGAGACTTACAACTGTGTTAAAGAGACAATGGAAGCAAATTCATTTCTAGGTCAATAGCGATTAGACAGGTTATTTGCAATTTCTAGATAAATTTGCTGAAATGCAATGAAGTTTTTCTGAAAGTATATCCATATTTATAATTATAATCTTTTTGCCTAATTATTCCTTCCCTTTTTTTTCTACTTTGTACATAGTGAGATACTCATTTTTACTATACTCAAACTCATATAGTTCCTGGTTGAGTAACAATAAATCAAAATACAAGTGACTTTAAAAACAGGTTTTAAAATAATTCATATAAGTAGAGGACAGGGCAGTGAAACCACTCTGTATGATACTGTTAGTGATGTGTATATGAAATCATCCATTTGTCAAAACCCATGAAACTGCAACAAAAAGAATGAACACTAATGCAAACTATGAATTTTAATAATAATGCATCAGTTTGGGCCCATCAACTGCAACAAATGTATTGCAAGATGCTAAGGAACTGTGGGTAAGGGAAAGGAAGAGGAGCTACACGGGAACTCTCTGTAGTTTCTGTGCTAATTTTCTGTAAGCCTAAAACTGTTTAAAAAATAAAGTCTATCTAAGAAAACAGTTTACTTATACAACTCAATGTCATAAAAATGAATAACCCAATCCAAAAAATGGGCAGAAGACCTGAAATTTTTCCAAAGAAGACGTACAGATGACCAACAGGCACATGAAAAGATGTTCAATATCGCTAATCATCTGAAAATGCAAACAAAAACTACAGTGAGGTATGTTCACTGTCAGAATGGCTATTATCAAACAGACAACAAATAACAAGTGTTGGAGAGGATGTGGAGAAAGGGGGAACTCAGGTACTGTTGGTGGGAATATAAATTGGTGCAGCCACTATGGAAAACACTGTGAAGCTTCCTCAAAAAATTAAAAACAGAACTATCATATGACTCAGCAACTTCACTCCTGGGTACATAACTGAAAAAAATAAAAACACTAATTTGAAAAGATATATACACCCCAATATTCATTATAGCATTATTTACAATAGCCAAGCTATGGAAGCAATCTAAGTGTCCATCAACAGATGAATGGATAAAGAAGATATGGTAGGTATGTGTGTACACACACACACACACACACACACACACACACACACACAAGAATATTCCTCAGCTATTAAAAAAAAATAACAAAATTCTGCCATTTGCAACAACATGGATGGACCTGGAGGGTCTTATGTTTAATGAAGGAAGTCAGACAGAAAAAGACAGATACTATATGTTTTCACTTACATGTGCAATCTAAAAAATAAAAGGAATGAATATAACAAAATAGAAATAAACTCGGAGATACACAGAACAAATTAGTGGTTTCCACTGGGGAGAGGGAAGGAGGGAGGGGCAAAATAGATGAAAGGGATTAAGAGGATAGGTATAAAATACTACTAGATATAAAATAAATAAGCTAAAAGGATGCAATGTATATCACACAGAATACAGCCAGCATTTTATAATAACTTTAAATGGAGTACAAGCTATAAAAATACTGAATCACTTTGTTGTACGCCTGAAACTAATGTAACATTGTAAATCAATTATACTTCAATTAAAAAATGAAAATAGCTCATATCATACGGATAAAAATAAATAGGAATATACCCATAGAGTGCACTGCCATTCATTAAGAGAGTGTATTTGCATCTTTAAATGATTTAACTGATAAGTTAATAACTAACAAGATCATGTTAGGGCACTAACAGGACTCTGATAATCATCTAAACCACATCATACGTTAAGAAACTGAAGCCCAGAGAAATTAAGCGAACTCATCAAGAACAACATTGTTTCGTGAAAGTACTGAGCTTTGTTTCCACATTCCAAACTAAAGCGCTCCTTCGACGACGCTACGTGATGTATCTTTCTCTAACGAGGTTATACAGTGAAAATAACTAGTATATATTCCAACACAAATGCGAGAGGTAGGTCTGTAGAATGAATAAAGGAGCCACCCATCGGGCTGCTATGCTTGGTTAAAAACCCCACTTAATTTACATCTTCTCAGAATAAAACAAACCAAAAAAAATTTTTTTAATAAAAAATTTACATCTTCTCAGACTAAGTCCTTACTTGCAAAAGACAGAGGTCCCAAAGCTCTCTTAACTCACAGCTGGGCCGGCTCTCCCTTCCTCCCAGGAGATAAAAGAACGGCGGGGAGGAGAGAGACTCGGAGGTCCGAGCTCCTCAAGTTACCCTGTCCTAGTCCCGCTGTCTCACCACCCGCAACTCTGCCGACGACCCCGCGCGGGGCGTCTGTCGGAGGGGCTCCGGGACCTCAGCTTTACCACCGAGGCTGCGAAGGGTCGCCGGAAGACGCCTGGTGCAGAGCGCCACAACACAGCGGCAAACCCAAGTCCCTTCTTCCAAGTTCTTTTTTGGCGCGTCTGTGACGCAACTTCCGCCCGATGCTGTGGCGAGACCGAGGGGCGGGACGGAAGTCAGCCAATCAAGGGATCGGCCAGACGGAAGCCGCGAAGCTACCGGAAGCTGTCTCAAGGTTCTGACCGGAAAGCGGAAGCAGCGCGCAGCACGTGTGGGCGGTGCCGGTCGGAGGGCTTTGCGTCCCCTGGGTTTGTGGGAGGTGAGACCGCTAGCGGCGACAGGCCAGGGCCGGGGTGCGGAGCGCGGGGACCCGGGGAGATCCTTCGGAGCTTGGTGACCCGCCGAGTGTCATGGAGGGCTCTGAGGAGCAACCAGGCTCACAGCCACCGCATTCCGGGGACCACCGCATCCGCGACGGCGACTTCGTTGTTCTGAAACGGGAAGATGTGTTCAAGGCAGTACAAGTCCAGCGGAGAAAGTGAGTAAGGCTGCGGGCCTTTGGTGTTCCCCACCCTCACCTTCTAGACACCCTCTCCCTCCAGGGTCCCATTCTTGACTCTCTGGATCCCCAAGTGTCTCTCTCGTTATCTCCTCTCGGGTCTTCCCAAAGAGGTCTTTGCCCCCAGGATCCCATCCTTGGCCCTCGGGATCTCCGTCACCCATCCTGTCTTCCTACAGAGGCCTCCCTTCGTGGTCTCATACCTGGTCCTATGTTTTAAGCATCCTTCTTAGTCTTTCCGCAGAGCCCCTTTCCCATTCTTGGCCCTCGGGTGCCCCGCCCCTTTCTCCACGAACCCCCGACCATGTCCTGTGGTTCTTTCTCTAGGTTTTTGAGATCTTCTCTCCTGTCTTCTCACAGCCTTCACCCTCTGATCTCATCCTTGCCTCCCAGAGCTCCCCTCATCACTACTGTATTTTTTATTCTTGAAACCAGTACTTTTTTTTTCTATTAGTAATGTGTGCTTGCTCCTAGGTACATAATTTTTGGAAAGTGCTAGTAATTATTCAGACCTTTTATTTGAAGTGTAGCTGTGCAGCAAAGTCCTTAGGTTATAAGTTAAATTTATGATCCTGAAGTTTCACAGCTGTATGGGGAAGTGCAGGTAAAGACTAATAGGGGTGCTTAGTTTTTCTTTCTCATATTGTCCTTTTAAGGTGCTTTATTGTGAAATGTAGTTGTTTGAGTGTGCTTGTTAACAATGTGCTGTTTTAGGCAAGAGCTTTTCATTACCAGAGAGACAGATAGCAACATCTTTATTTCTGGAAAGTACTTTTTAGACATATATTTTGAAACACTTTTCATCAGTTTCCTTGGCAGAAGCCATAGCATTAATTTCCATTTTACTTAGAAAATGACCCTTTGGGCTCAACTACATCCCAGACCAGACTGCCCCTTTATTCTTCCCTTGGGGCTGCACTCATCTTCTCTCCTGTCTCTCCTGTCTCCTGCCCCAACCGGGCAGAAGCAATCTCTGCAAATCCCACTCTTTCCCAGTGAAGAAAGACATGTGGCTCTAGGTCCTTCTGACTGGGCCCCACTGTTCTTGACTAGGGCAGTGACCTCCTGTCAGGATAATCAGTTTGAGTGACACCCCCTTCTTTGCATATCAGACCTGCTGCCAGAGGAGTAAACCCAAGCCAGCTCAGACCCAGTGTTTCATTAGCACTGGGCTATTCAAAGGATGAGGCAAGGAAGAATGTACACTGGGCTGAGCTGAGTTTCAGCTTCTCTGAGAGGATTTATGTCAGCAAATATTTTGTGTCTATTATGTGTTAGTCACTGATGACCCGGCAAAGAACAAGAATTGGCCCTATCTGAATACTTAGGATCTTGGAGAAATTCACTCAGATGATTCAAGTGAATCGACTTAATGAAGATGTGACACATACACATACAGAGGTGTGACAAGGTTTAGAGACACAATTGAGGCTGGTGATGCACCCAGCGGTCTAGAATGGTGGAAAGTCTTTAGCAAGGGAACCTGCATGATGCATCTGTGCATTCTGTCATGATCAGCCTCCTGAGGGACAGAGAAAGAAGAGAAGGTGTGGGATGGGGCACGAAGAAAATTAACCAGTACACGTCTTTTAGGATTCAGAGTTCTGTTGATGTGGGCTATGTTCTGAAGGTAAGCAGGGCTTCCTGAGATCCATTTGTTCTTTGCTGGGTAAACCGCGTGGATTAGTGGAAGGAACCAGGCTTGGGGATCAGGCAGACTTGGATTTGAATCCCAGCTCCCACTGTGTAACTGAATGTTGGACGAAACACCTTTCCTTGAGCTTTAAGATCGCTCATCTAGAAAGAGCTATGTCCCAGGATTACTGAATTGAAAATTAAATCAAAAAGTGTGAAACACCTTACCACAATGTTCATAGCAGCACTGTTTACAATGGACAGGACATGGAAACCATCTAAATGTCCATTGACAGATGACTGGATAAAGAAGTTGTGGTGTATTTATACAATGGAATGCTATTCAGCCATAAAAAAGAATAAAATAATGCCATTTGCAGCAACATGGATGGACTTGGAGATCATCATTCTAGGTGAAGTAAGCCAGAAAGAGAAAGAAAAATACCATATGATATCACTCATATATGGAATCTTAAAAAAAAAAAGAAAAGACACAAATGAAATTATCTACAAAACAGAAACAGACTCACAGATGTAGAAAACAAATTTATGGTTACCAGGGGGAAAGTGGGTGGGAAGGGATAAATGGGGAGTTCACGATTTGCACATACTAACTACTATATATAAAACAGATAAACAACAAGTTTCTTCTGTGTAACACAAGGAACTATATTCAATATCTTGTAACCTATTATGAAAAAGAATATGAAAACGAGTATATGTGTATATATATGACTGCAACATTATGCTGTACACCAGAAATTGACACAACATTGTAAACTGAGTATACTTCAATTTAAAAAAAGTTTGAAACACCTGACACATGCTGCCTAGTCCCTGACCAACACTCAGTGGAAATTCAGTGTTTTTGTGAATTCTTTATTAATTTTGTGTGTCTGCCCCAACCCAATTCTCTCTAGTCATTTGTCAGTTCATGGTCAGAGATCATGCTGCTGATCGTCCTTTGTGGAGTTTGATTTTGAGATAAACTAGATTGACTGTATCTTTCCTATGCTGAATGCAAATGAGATTCAGCTAATTGACTGCATTTCTTCCCCAGGAAAGTAACTTTTGAAAAGCAGTGGTTCTACTTGGATAACGTCATTGGCCATAGTTATGGAACCACATTTGAAGTGACCAATGGAGGAAGTCTTCAGCCTAAGAAGAAGAAGGAAGAGCCTACTTCAGGTGCACTGTACTACTTAGGATGTATGAAATAGATGCTCTTAAGCTGGCTATTTAGAACCTATCAACCCCAATTAATTCTAAAGTGCTAGTCCAGGCTGTCCCTAAAGAAATCTAAACTCATAATCTAAAAACTGTAGCTTGGTGGAATGAATTAGGGTCTGCCTTTGGCTTTGACATACCTGGGTTCTGGCTCCAGCCCATTGCTAACCAGCTCTTGGACCTTGGCCGGGCATTTAATCCCTTGAGTCCTTGCGGCTTCAGTATAAGAGCAGTTGTGGAACCCTTTCTGTGCCCAGAAGTTAAGTAACAGCTCACGAGGTAGTTAACCTATAGAGTAGAGGGTAAAGGGTATGGCTTTGAATTTAGCTGAGTTTAGGTTCTGGCTTTATCACTTGCTTTGTAACCTTGAGCTAGTTATTTGGTTTTTCTGTTTTATATCCTCATCTGTAAAATAGGGCCGTAAACATATTTAATATCTAAGCTGCATTGATTGTTCAGTCATATGACACATAGGAAATTCTTAACAGTGCCTTACCTGTTCAAAAACAAATGGCCCCATAATTTTAACTGTTATCGTTAATTAAGATTAAATACTTAAATAATCATTAAAATAAATGTACTTAAAATATTTTATCAATAGAATTAAAATACTTCATTAAACTTAAATAATTAAAATACTATTGAAGTTCTGGTTCAAGCCAGTGGATTAAATGCTTTTAAATTAGCATTCATATTTTTATTAAGCATCAAAATTCTAGGCATGATTAGACACGCAATTGTAACAGTTCATGGGACAGACCATCCCATAAAATTTATTTAGCTTTGGGGAACACCAAAAATAATCAAGTAGACAAGCAAACAGCATGAATTCAGATGGTGATGTGTGCTATGAAGATGATAAGCAGGGAGGTGTAGTGAAGGCAGATTAAATGAGATGAGACTTGGCTGAGATAATGAGCTCAGACCTGAGTGATGGAAAAGATCCACCCACTTGGAGATGTCATAAGAGCCCGTTCCAGGCAGAGAGAGCAGCAAGCGCTGCAAAGCTCTACAGTGGCACCATGCTGATGTGTCTAAGGGACAGAAAGAGGGGCCATGTGGTTAAGAAATGAGACCAGAAAAGGTAACCAGAGGCCAGATCATATACAGCCTTGCAGGTCATCTTTGGAATGTATTAGAATTGCTACAGGAAGCCACTGTGTGGCTTTGTGCATTGGAATAGATGAGCCAGTGTGCATTTTAAACAGAGAAGTCTGACATACAAGGGCAAGAGTGGAAGCAAGAATATGAGTTAGAGGCTTGGAATTGTCATGACAGGAAAGGATAGTGGATAGGGTAGGGACAGTGGAACTGGAAGGCCAAATTTAAGTGGCTGATGGGCTGGTTGTGGATATGAACTTAGAAGAAGAAAGATTTCTGAATGATTTTAGATCCCACATGTCACAAGAGCAATTTTCTTCCTTAGAGACCAAAGAAGCGGGCACTGATAATCGAAATATAATTGATGATGGGAAATCCCAGAAACTTACTCAAGATGACATAAAAGCTTTGAAAGACAAAGGCATTAAAGGAGAGGTAAAAGTCAAAGGATTTCTTTTGTTTGTTTTGTTTTCATTTGGTACTTAGGAAATTGCTTGATTTTTAAAGCAGATTTTTCTTAAGGAGAAATGTAAAAATACTGTACACTTTTGTTAAAAATAGCTTGAAGTGCTTATGCAATTCAGTATCTCAAAGATTTTGTTTCTTATAGGCAGGAATGTAAGTGAGGGACATCACTAATATTGTTAGCAAAAGAGAATTTGATAACAACTTAGTGCATATCAGAGCTTAACTTTGTTCATTCCCGGTAATGTTTTCAGCCAGTGTCTTCAGGAATGACTGTTTCTTTTACCTCTTTTCTCCCTTTCTTGTGTATCTCTGTTCTTTTACTTCAATTTAAATGGATTTATAAAATACTTATATTTTAATACAAATTCTATATAGAGTATAAAAATATACAGTTCATCCTTTTGGACTACTGTGGAAAAGGGCCTGGAGATTCAGACCTTTGGATACATTCTGGGGTAAGAAACCTTTGAAGTTATCTATTCGGTGAAAATAAAGTTTCAGGAAATCTGCTTGCTCCTTTTCTTATAGGAAATAGTTCAGCAGTTAATTGAAAATAGTACTACATTCCGAGACAAGACAGAATTTGCTCAAGATAAATATATAAAAAAGAAGAAAAAGAAGTAAGTAGTTTTGTTTGAAAAAGACAAAAATATAGAACCTTTCTATAGATTTATAGAACATATTATTAAAAATAAAATGTTTTCAAAACAGTTTTTTAAAACTGATGTTCTGTTGTTTCTTTCGCCAGGTATGAAGCCATCATTACTGTTGTGAAGCCATCCACCCGCATTCTTTCAGTTATGTATTATGCAAGAGAGCCTGGAAAAATTAAGTACGCTTTGTTTCCTTTCAAAAGTATAATTGGGGGAAAATATATCTTTAAGAAAGTCATGATTTTAAGTAAAATGAAAATCTTGCTCATCTGCATAAAGTGTCCTCCTACTTCATAAATTGTAAGTCCTTTTTACTGTTGCCTCCAAAGCAATCAGTAATCTTATCAACATAATTTTTATGAAACAAACAAACAAAACTTGAAAAATGATGATTAAATAGCAGACTTTGCTTAGCTAAAAATGAATGAATCTTTTTTCCTTAGCCACATGAGATATGATACACTAGCCCAGATGTTGACGTTGGGAAATATCCGTGCTGGCAATAAAATGATTGTGATGGAAACATGTGCTGGCTTGGTGCTGGGTGCAATGATGGAACGAATGGGAGGTAAGAGTTAACATTTTCAAGTTCATTAAAACCCCACTGTGGTTTGAGTAAAGGGGTCTAAAAAATTCAAACTCATAGAAATCGAGGCTGAGTTACTGTGAAGTTAGTGAAGTGACTGGGGTGTGCCCGCACAGCTCCGGTCTCGGGGACCTTCCTGCACAGTTCACATCTCCCAGCCTGAGTGGTGTTGGCACCCCCGATGGCAGTGCCCTTTCCAGCTGCTGTATCAGTGGGGATGGTTCAAGCCTGAAGCTGGCTAGGACCTCCAGGACAGTCATTTTAGTAAACTATTGGATTATTGGTGCTCATTTTATTGGCCTGAATTGAGGGGATTGGGTGGGAAGAACACTAGGGGTGTATTCTGCCCCGGAAGAGTACATGACAGCCTAATTTGCCTGCCCTTTCCCTGACCCATAGAAGATAAGAACTGGTAACTGCCTTGTTTGGAGCTTGGACTGAGGGGAAACTGAGAATCACTCACCAATGATGTGACATACAAAGTTGTATGATCACAGCGATTTACCGTACGCTTCTTTAAGACTTCCCATTTACCTGTTTGGAATTATATTACCTCCAGTGGGAGTATTCATAGACTCCAAACAGAAGAGCTGCACAATCTTCAGCCTATGAACAGTGCAAAGTGGAGAGACCTTCAGTCTTCTCACCGTGGCCCACGCCGAGGGTTGTGTAGCCTAGAGTTGCTCCATTGAGCAAGTGTTTGTCTCTTTTGTCTGTTTAGGTTTTGGCTCCATTATTCAGCTGTACCCTGGAGGTGGACCTGTTCGGGCAGCAACAGCATGTTTTGGATTTCCAAAGTCTTTCCTCAGTGGTCTTTATGAATTCCCCCTCAACAAAGTGGACAGTCTCTTAAATGGGACATTTTCTGCCGAGATGTTATCTTCAGAGCCAAAAGACAGTGCTTCCGTTGAAGAAAGTAATGGCACGCTGGAGGACAAACAGCCTTCAGAGCAAGAGAATGAAGACAGCATGGCAGAGGCCCCAGAGAGCAGTCACTCAGAAGAACAAGAAACAATGGAAATTGTCTCTCAAGTTCCAGAATATAAAGAGCCTAAAGAGAGAGGAAACAAAAAGGATTATGTAAGAATGTTAAGCGTTTCCCCTACTCTTGTAGTGTCTTCTTCAGGGCTTCAGTGAACTTCACATAATCACTGAGGTTCGGTTTGGCTTTGGAGTATCAGCTCCCAAGGTATCAAAACAGAGAAAGAGAGTGTGTGAGTACACACATGTATGATTTCATCTGTGGGATGGAGCTGGAGGATGCAGAAGCACTGTGCAGGTGGTTCAGTGATGCTTTTGTAACACAGGCTCTTGTGTGTTTTCAACTTCCTTGTAAATGACCTCCTTCTGTTGCTTTAGTCCAAGTTAATAAGTATTAGGTGTTTTGACAGACCAGAGTTCCCATAAACCTGATTGAATGACCTCAGTATGTTGGTTTCTTATTTTTCTTCTTGAAGATTCAGGAAAAGCAGAGGAGACAAGAAGAGCAGAGGAAAAGACATTTAGAAGCTGCCGCTCTGCTGAGTGAAAGAAACGCAGATGGGTGCGTTGATGGGAGGACGCAGGCGACGTCTTGGTGCTCATGGGCTCTGCTTCAAGCAGATTAGAGTTCTTTGTCTACTTGCCTGCTTTGATTATAGTGGGAGCAGAGGTGATGGTTCTGTCCTGGGTTTTTTAAGATAAGAGGCTGCATCTGGCAGAGGTGGGAAATCAATTATGCTGGTTTTGAAGTTTTAGAAGGAATTTCTCCAGTGATGGCACATCAGATGGGACTGTGTGATCCCACTGCGTGCAGGTCGTGAAGCATTCACATTGATGTGATACTGGCCAAGGAAAACCTGACAGGAAGAGGTAGATTTGGGTAGCTGCAAAACCAGTATTACAACATTGGATTTGTTTACAGGTGATTTTTTTTTTAAATCAGGAATGTCATTAAATGCCACTTAGCGATGCCAAGCACCATGAGAGCTTATAATCCAGTTTGTGTTTCTTAGAAAGTGATAGCTCATGATTTTAGTGACTGAAATCTCTAGAATGTATTTAAAGCTCTTCCTTGTGTGAGTCATGCAAATAAATACACAGACATTTTAAATGCATTTTAAAACCTGTGCTCCGCTTCGGGAGCACAGAGAAATAATTTGTCTGACATTTTCCTTGCAGTTTAATTGTAGCTAGTCGTTTCCATCCCACTCCATTGCTCCTGTCTTTGCTGGACTTTGTGGCTCCTTCAAGGCCGTTCGTGGTCTACTGCCAGTATAAAGAGGTAATACTGAAACGGAGTGGGCAGGAGTTCTTGCATCTGATTGTTGATTCTCAGAAAGTAGCCCTCAAAATAATTCTTAACAGAGCTCTGTTTATGCCTTTAGCCTCTGTTGGAATGCTACACAAAACTGCGGGAAAGAGGAGGGGTTATCAACCTCAGGCTGTCTGAAACCTGGCTCAGAAATTACCAGGTACGTGAATTTTTGACAGGGAACAGGCTGTTGGAGAAGGAAGTCTCTGGCTGGGTGTGTATAAGGTAGCTAGTTCTCCATGGACCCAGCTCCACTGCTGATCATGAAGAGCCAAGAGGGAGGAACAGAATCCAGTCCCCCACCAGAAACTTGCTTCCAATTTAAGCGAAACGGCTTCAGTTTTATTTTTCAAAGAAAATTACCTACACCGTTGTTTTCACTTTTATCTGCACTGTCACATGAAGGAAGGGACTCCTTAGGAGTTGGTCTGATTAAATCTTCATGAGGATCTATGTCATTTAAATTCTCATTTGTGGCACATGTGTTGTTAGCATGGGCCTTATCTGCTTAGGAAAACACGAATGTCTGTTTTTCTGTCTTGATTAGGTTTTGCCAGATCGAAGTCATCCGAAACTACTGATGAGCGGAGGTGGGGGTTACCTTCTCTCAGGCTTCACTGTTGCCATGGACAGCCTTAAAGCAGAGCCCAGTCTCAAACCCAACACAGGCACCGCAGAGTCACACACGACTGAAGAGCCAGCAGCTAAAAAACGGAAATGTCCAGAGTCCGACTCTTAACCTTTCAAAAATTGCTTTGGTCTTTGTTCTCAGGCATTATACAGTTAGTAAGTAAACTTTAAATACCATTACTAATTGTTTTTTCATATCCTAAGAATAAGAACGTGTCTGTACACCTGTTCCAGGGAAGGACAGATAAGCCTCTTGTCCACCTCTGGCACAGGTGGGTTTGGTCTATCAAAACCTAGATCCAGAATACGCAGGCCTGGGGTAAGCAGTGGACTGGTATATGGCCAACTGTGTTTATTTCACAAAAATCCTCTAAGAACTTTTAGCACTCTGCGCAAATATCTTGAGAATTGAGACATCCCAAAAATATATTTATACAAGACTTTGTATATGTGTTAAGCTAAGTGGAGTAACACACTATCACTGAAACTTGGGTACTGAAAGGAAGGAATTTGTGGCAATTTCCTCCGTTCATTACGTTCTCTTCAACCTGAGCAATATGAATGTGTGTGATTTACAGTACCAAAAATGTCCACCCTTTTCCCTCCAATGGAATATACTTTTAAGAAATGTTATATTTTGTTATTTTAATAGTTGATGACCTAGGAAAGCTCTCAGTATTTATTTGACTGCTGTTTTTGTCAATAGAAAGGTGTAGTAGGGTACTTTTTTCCCATTAATTTGCCAATGCCCTCATTCTTTGTTCCAAGAAAAGTGACTAGAACTTTTGTGTACTATTCAGTTAAAGAAAACAAATGGTTTTTCCCCCTCCCCAGAGACTTACGGAGATAGCTAGGTACGTGTATATGGATGTTGGTGTATGCATATACATACGTATGTTTATATATACACACGCATACACATGGAGACAGAGAATGCACTTCCTGTGTGAACTGTAACAAAGGTTAGCGCAGGGCTTAGACCAGTCCTCATTGCATTAGTGTCACTCCTTGTCAAATGTATTTTTAAGTGCCTTTTTTGGTGATTATTAATGCTGGTTTGTAGAGCTCTGGCGTGACTAAGTGGTTAGTCTTTCTAAGCTCTGAAAAAATGTAATGAAATTATTCGGTCATCCACTGCCGCCAAGAGAAGTGTTTAGTGTCCATTTGAGAGCGTGAGTCTCGCTCACTAAACACGCTCATCATGTGTCTTATTCACGTCGTCATAGAATAGATGCGGATCATCCAGCGAGAAGCATCTCAAAAAAAAAGAAAAAAGAAGTAGCTTCTTCCTAGTAGCATGTGCTGTTCTAAAAATGGCCAGTGTGATTACCAACAAGTACAGTTTTGATTCCTTTTTCTTAAAACAATTGCTTTTCAAGAATAAAAGTATTTCCTACTGTGATGCGTCTGACTCACATTGTCAATGCTGTCAGTGCCACCGCATTCACTGGCTTTCAGCAGATTGTGACACATGGTCTGTGTGAGAAAACATGCCTGAATCAGCATCTCAGTGAACATGTCCCTGCAAGCAGTTGTCCTCCGCACCCAACCAGTTAAGTTTGCTCAAAGAGAACACATTATATGCACAGATCAGCAGCAGCTGGTCTCTGCTGGTCACTGTTGTTAGGACTGTCTCCTGCTTGAAACTCAGCTGGTGTGCAGGTCCCACCCCATTTCATTCAGTCTGGGAGTCTGCACTGCCATGGCCCTGTGTGCCCACATAACTACCCCTGGAGTTGACTTGTGGACTTAGGCACCAGGTGAACTCAAAGTTAACCTTCACCTGCTACTTTTTTTCTCATTCATGTGATCTGCTTCATCTTTGAGTACTGATGATTTAATTCAGTGGTTTGAAAACTTAGTGTGCACCAGAGTGCCCTGGAGGGGTTATTAAAACACAGGTTACTGATCTCCACCAAGTTTCTAAGTATGTCTGGGATGGGGCAGAAAATTTCCATTTCTATGTTTCTGGGTGACAGACACTAGTGCTGCTAGGCCAGGAACCACTTCTGTGTGCACCCACGTCACTAGTGTAGCTAAGTACGCAGTGTTTTTGTCTGGTTTGTAAAGTGGACATCCACCTTTGGAGCAGATGAGTGGGTAATTCTATGACTACTGGACATCCAGTCACCAGGAGAGTTGTGTGAAACAGCACTTCAGTGAGTGGCAATCAGAAAGTAAAGACAACAGTTTGCAATGGACGCCTTGCTTCTCCGTTAGATTAGGGTACTTAGGAATATACAGTGGTGCCAGTTAGAAAATGTTTTAGCTTAGAGGTACACTAAAATTGTATGAAGCAAATCTTTTTTTTAGCTTTATTGAATTAAAATTCACATAACATTGTATCAGTTTAAGGTGTACCATGTGTAATTTGACATACTTATGTACTGCAGGATTATAACCACCATAGCATTAGCTAACATCACCTGTGACATAATTACCATTGGGCGGGGGGGGGGGGACAAGAACATTAAAATTTTACTCTCTTTGCAACTTTTAAGTATGCAATTATTGTTAATTATAGTCACTATGCTGTATATTAGAGCACTGGAATTTATTCATCGAATAACTGGAAATCTGTGCCTTTTGATCAATATCTCCCTAATTCCTCCACCCCCTAACTCCTGACAACCCCACCATTTTACTCTCCATTTCCATGAGTTTGATTTTTTTAGATTCCACATATAAGTGCCATCGTACAGTATTTGCTTTCTCTGTCCAGCTTATTTCACTTAGCATAATGCCCTCCAGGTCTATCCATGTCACAAGTGGCAGAATTTCCCTCTTTCTCATGGCTAAATAATATTCCATTCATTATTCATCTCCATTCATCTGTTGACACATCTCCATTCATTGATAGCAAAGATTATACGTATAAAATCTTTTTGGATTCTTTTCCATTATAGGTTATTACAAGGTACTGAATATAGTTCCCTATGCTGCACAGTAAATCCTTGTTGCCTATCTATTTTATATGTGATAGTGTGTATTTCTTAATCCCATTCTCCTAATTTATCCCTTCCTTCCTTCCCCTTTGGTAACCATAAGTTTGTTTTCTGTGTCTGTAAGTCTGGTTTCCGTTTTGTAAATAAGTTCACTTGCATTATTTTTTTAGATTCCACATATAAGTGGTATCATATAATATTTATCTTTGTCTAACTTCACTTAGTATGATAATCTCCAGGCCCATCTTTGTTGCTGCAAATGGCATTTCATTGTTTTTATGGCTGAGTAATAGTCCATTGTGTGTATATTACCACATCTTTTTTATCCGTTCATCTGTTGGTGGACACTTAGGTTGCTTCCATGTCTTGGCTATTGTAAACATTGTAAATAGCTGCTATGAACATTGGGGCGCATGTATCTTTTTGAATTAGAGTTTCCATCTTTTTCGTATATATGCCCAAGAGTAGGATTGCTGGATCATATAGTAAGTCTATTTTTAGTTTTTTAAGGAACCTCCATACTGTTTTCCATAATGACTAGTACCAATTTACATTCCTACCAACAGTGTAGGAGGGTTCCCTTTTTTCCATACCCTCTCCAGCATTTATTATTTCTAGACCTTTTGATGATGGCCATTCTGATTGGTGTGAGGTGATACCTTATTGCAGTTTTGCTTTGCATTTCTCTAATAATTAGCAATGGTGAACATTTCGTGTGCCTGTTGGCCATCTGTATATCTTCACTCTCTGTCTGGTGCCTGCCTATGAGATACAATAGCCAACTCTCCCATTATTGACAGATTGGCCCCATGTAGGAGATTAACCTCATCAGTTAGCCCAGTCTGAGTTCCTGGTTGTCTCTCAAAAGTTTGTGATTTCCAAGCTGCCATCTTTCTTATTGGCTCCCAGTAACTGAGAGTGTACCACGACCCATCAGTATCTCAAAGGCAAGAATTCCTGTCAACACCTAGATATAGGCTGATCAGAAGTGGACCTTCAGGCAGCATCTGGGAAAGGACGTAGTTAAGCCCTTTTGGGGGAGGAACTTAAGAGATGGGTATTTTTGCTTGGTCCCTCTACACTATGCCTAGATGTGTAGCTGCAGGGGGTGCTTCTGTACCCATTTAAAAACTACTTCTTTAAAATCCTGTGAGACTTGTGCATGCGATTCTCATTGGCTATTAAAGCCAGGTGATTTGGGGTTCCACTCCTCAGGTGCCAGTCACAAAAGCTGGGGTGACGGGTACAAGCTACCTCCAGAGAGCGTGGCAATCGGATATTGAGGTTGGAGTAACCCAGAGGGAGAAGTTAGGGAAAGTGCCTACTGGCTCCCCTGGCCTCTGGGGAGGATCACAGCCAGCCCCTAAATGTGTGCTAAGTTAGACAGCAGACCTTCAGGCAGCAGCTTGTGAAGTATGTAGTCACATCCTCAGGGAAAGACCTGGAGATGCATATGTTCTCTGCCACCTCTGCACCGAGCCCTGGGGCAATGGCCACATTAAGGACAGGCTTTGTTGGCTACAGTCGTGTGGCTTTCATGGACCCAAGCCCTCTCAGTTTTCAGAGCTAGGTGTTTGGGGGGCCCGTTCCTTGAGTGGGAATCTTAAATGTTGGAGTGCTTTAGATGGGGTCCAAACCCTTCAATCCTCAGGGAGAAGCTGGAAGTTGGGGTTGGGGGTTCCCTCCCAGTTGTGTGGTTCTGTGCGGGGGTGGAGTCCATTGTGAGAGTGTGTCTCAGTCTCTCCTACTGGCTTTGATGTGGCTTTTCTCCTTCATCTGATGTATAGGAGCCACCTAGCTAGCTTCTGGATTTCTCTCAGAGGGCACTACAGTGTGTATAGCTGTACATTTAGTGGATCCTAGGGAGGAGGGAAGTTGAGGACCCTTCTATGTTGCCATCTTGGTCACCTCTCTCGTAGGAAGCGGATCTTAATAGGTAATCATTCATTTATTGATTGTATATGGAAAAGCCAAAAATATATTCTATTTTGTATATTTTTTTTATTGAAGTATAGTCAGTTTACAAAGTTGTGTCAAGTTCTCGTGTACAGCATAATGCTTCAGTCATACATGAACATACATATATTCATTTTCGTATTTTTTACTTTGTTACTACAAGATATTGAATATAGTTCCCTGTGCTATACAGCATGAACTTGTTTATCCATTCTACATAAATAAATATCAGTTAGTATCTGCAAATCTTTAACTCCCAGTTTATCCCCTCCCACCCTGGTAACCACAAGTTTATTCTCTATGTCTGAGAGTCTGTTTCTGATTTCTGGGGGTTTTTTCTTAACATTTTTTTATTGAGTTATAATCATTTTACAAAGTTATGTCAAATTCCAGTGTAGAGCACAATTTTTCAGTTATACATGAACATATATATATTCATTGTTACATTTTTTTCTCTGTGAGCTACCACAAGATCTTGTATATATTTCCCTGTGCTATACAGTATAATCATGTTTATCTATTCTACATTTTGAAATCCCAGTCTGTCCCTTCCCACGCCCCACCCCCTTGGCAACCACAAGTTTGTATTCTATGTCTATGAGTCTGTTTCTGTTTTGTTTTTGTTTTTTTTAGATTCCACATATGAGCAATCTCACATGGTATGTTTCTTTCTCTTTCTGGCTGATTTCACTTAGAATGACAATCTCCAGGTCAAAAATATGTATTTTTTAAATTTTAGTATTAAATCTTAAAATAGATAGGGTGTTTGCATTTTGTTTCAAATCATTGGCTGTAACGATTGCAAGAGCAATAGTAAATACTAAGAAGCAGGTCCTGAAAATCTGGTTATTAAGACTGATGTTCTAAAAGTTCCTGATTTGGGAATGTATTTAAGTGCAGTGCTGGAAAGGATCTGGTATCTTTACTTGAAATATAATGTTGCTTCTAGGCTAGTATTAATTTTTGTAAAATAAATTACAGATTTTTCATGGACAGGTCAGATGGCAAGAACTGTAAGTCCTAAATAGCTACTTAAAGAGCAATTGATACATTGTTAACTGGCCCCGTTAACATTTATTAGCCACTGCTTTTTGACTATGAGGAAGTGCCAAATCCTTGAAGCGCAGGAAATTAATATCATGTACTCCTTTTATTTTGGCCTCTTTCACTGTTCCATTAATAACCTGGGCTTTTGGCATTTAGCTGAGATATCAAAACAGAACTGGAAAGATTTTGACATTTCATTTTCACATTGCCAAAAAGTTAACAAGGCACTGAAGATACTTAATTTCAAAATGTAGGTGCGCTCAATATGTTGTATGTTTGTCCACTTAATGTTGTCATTCTAAACCAACACCCTTGGAAAAGCAGAGAAATGAATCCAGGCGGTGGAGGAAGTGAGAGCACAAGGCCACTTGCCTTCTGGGAATACTCTCCCCAAACAAGTAAGTCTAAGTAAAGTGGCCTCTCACCTTTCTCTCCCATCAACTGCAAGTGACAC